GGAGTATGACTACATAAGAATTGTTTTCTCTTAAGAAACTGTAAAATACTATCACCACGGTGACCTAATCTACGGTGCCACACAGGGTCAGGAGCTAAAACAGAAGTACTCATGGTGATGAGGGCGGCAGACTGATAGGATAAAGTGGTCCACTACTGGTAGCTCGCAGAAGCACTGCCCCTGTTGCCTTGTCCTTAATCAAAAAAGAATTTTTATAAAAAATTACAGTACAATTATTATCAGCGCATAGCCTTTTAATTGAAATTAAATTATATTTTAACTGAGGCACATGATAAACAGATTTTAAAGTGAGAGGATGACCAAACGTAGGTAATGCAACATCACCAACATGACAAATGGGAAGATGGGCACCATTGGCAACACTAACAGAATTATAGCCGATGCAAGGAGATTTATTAACTAAAATACCTTCAGATGCAGTCATATGAGCAGAGGCTCCTAAATCAGGAAACCATAGAGCAGGAGTAGTGTCACCGGGAGTAGTCAACAGACCAGGGGCGGATGGTTGTGTGAAACGAGAAGGACAATTTATGGCTGAATGACCTGCAGAAAAACAAATTTGACAGACAACAGGATGGGGAACAGACCCAAGAATACCCCCATCTGATGGCAAGCCTGCAGAACTACGGTTAGTAACACAAACAGGTAAAGCATGAATATTTAAATGTGACATAGCAGAATTACAAATAACAGTACCCGTAGATGTCACACCCCCTGCAGGTGAACCACCCCCTCCAGGGTTATAAGCTGGTTGTGTAACACCGACCCCGAGCATATTTACTTTTAGTAAATTATGTAATAAACCTTGAAGGATGATTTAAGAATTTGCGTGATTGTAAATTTTTATTATTTCTTTTACGTGAATAGTAAATTGCATGTGGGGCCCACAGCGGGAACGCGGACCGCCCGATAATTCCCGAACCACATATTATATTCATCTTGGTCTAGATGACATCCATATGGTTGTGGACATTTTATTTGGGCCATAGGAAAGGCACGGAGTTGACCGGTGGTCAAACGAGGCCCAATTACCGGTATTGATAATTTAGCGGATAACAGCCCGAAATGAATTTCGGAGACTCCCAAATTAATGTTGGGGAATGTACATCTATTCTAAAGGCCCATTATTATTAGGGACGCGTGATATATTTTATTTGGCCCGGCAAAATAAAATATAATTAAAACAGTCCGAGAAATACAACTTTCGGGACCGATTGTCCACACCGGGACATAATGGGATGACCTCCCACATGAGTGGGGCCACACCACGTTTTTATGGGTAAGTAATAGCTGGAGGGACAAGCCTAAATGGCTTGTGCGGACAAGAATAAGGGAGGGGAACTTCCTAGAGACAAAGTTGCACCTTCATGACCCCATCACCAAAATTATTTTGGGTGATTGAATAGGTGATCCCTCCCCCCTATCCTTGTGTCATTCGGCCAGCACAAAGCAGGAGAAGCCCAAGGGAAAGCAAAGCACTAGTTGGAGGAAGAGGGAAGCTAGGAAAATCCACAAGAAATAGCTTGAGTTTAAGGTAAGAACATAACTATTGTTCTTTAACTAGTTTATGTTGTATGATTTTCAAGAAATCATATGGTGGAGTAAACATGAAGTTCTACACGTTTAAAAAGTGTAGAATGTTGATATATAATGGTAGTAATTAACTTAGAAGAGTTGGTGAATCGATAGGAGTCGAAATCGCCGGAAACCGCCACATATAGGAAGCTGTTCGTGTTGCAGGAGGACGAACGTCGCCCGGCTTTCGTGAAAGCCGCCCGGCTTTTGTCCAGGCAGTCCAGTTTTGCCTTCTTATCGGTTTAAAACGAGGATTAATCGGGGAGCTTAACAAAGACAACTATTTCAGCACATCATAAGGTGAGGATGACTGACTATATTGCTTATAATTAATGAGTTAATTTCATGAGATTAGCTAAGGTAATTAAATGTGTTTTTATGGATTATTAATGATTAATAATGCCTAAGAATGAAAGACTAATGTCTAAAGAAAAAGGAGCATGATATACAAATTTAAGAGTAAATTGTGTATGACCATGTGTTATGAATATGTTGACTTGAAAGTGGAATTAATTATGAAACATATGTTGAAGTATATTTTTTCTTCATATTAGAATATATGAGTGATTAAAAGTGATATTTTGAACATTGAGATAAATGACATTTTCAAAGGAAAATCAGTTGGAATTGTCTATATGACTATGAGCTGAGAACTTGGTTTGTTGGTATGAATTTGACTAGTATTAAGATGCTAGTTGGACATTTAAAATGAAATGTTGTTAAGATTGATCCTAAGATTGGATTGTGAAATGTTATGCCCTAAGTAGTCTTAAGAGATGCTTTAAGGTAGGAAAGTATGAACTCTAAGTTATACTAGGGGTAGGCCTTAAGGGATACCCAAGATAAAGTAAGTAATAAATTGATCCTAAGTATAGGATTGGCCTACAGGTGTGTTCGGTAGTCCTTGTGGATAGCCGGTTGAATTATGGAAATAAGTAAGGACCATGGCCCTTCCCGACTTTAGAGAGCGGGGTTGGATAGCATGGACTTACATCGTGATCACGGGTTAGGGTGGAATCCGAATCGGAGACCTAACTAGGTTCCGGTAGCGGTAACACATAAGATAGGACCCCGAAGGGCCTTACCTTCCTACGGGATGATGGGTATGAGTCCAGGGGCAGGATGTTGGAGTCCGAACCGGGAGCCTCATGAGGTCTCGGACAGCGGTAGCAAGTCCCGTAGAAATAATAAGACCCAAGGGTTGAGTTGTGCAAATGATAAATGAAAAGGAATATATAAGAAGGGTCGTGTGCCGACAAATAAATGAATTTGCTTATTATAAAGATAATAAGTGGGAAATATAATTTATTATTTATATTATGATATCACCCTATTTTGAGGGTCTTGGAAATTAAAACGTTGATTATACTTAGTATAGTTGCTATTGTACTTGTCAAATGCTTCCAAGTACTGGCCTCCCCTTCACGGGGGAGGCCACCTCACAGTTTCAGGTAGAACTTGAAGGTTGCTACCATTGCCCGTTGCTTCGGGAGGATCAAGGGAAGAAGACGTGGTTCGTGCTTCTTCCGTTCTGTTTTAAAAACAATTACGTTAATGCTCATGGATACTATTTTCTGAATAATTACTTTGGGGGCTTGCATGCCTAGTTATGCCAAGTGTGGCTTGAACAATTGTACTAATGCTTTCGCTGTTTTAAATGCATTATTTACATTATGTTTGTTTATGGATATACTATGTGTGAATGATATTCATGACGCCTTGTATAGTATGGATGAGTTGGACTGCGATTGACTATTCGTACCGTACGGCGGGTTGTCGACGTGTCCGGCTAGGTCTGGGGCGTGACAGGTTGCCCCTGAGGATACCAGTATGCTGGAGGCTGACCATACTGGACTGAGTAATGCCCTCTGCCACGACCCCTGCCATCGCGGCCTCGCCCGGGACCGCGGCTCCTGCCGCGCTGCTGAGAGCCCTGCTGCCTCTGTTGCCCGACCGGGTACTGTGAGCCCGAATGCTGATGGCCGGCCTGCTGACCAGTGGACTGCCCGGATAAATTAACCGCAGCGCCGAAGGCCTGATGGAGGGACGAGGACTCCTGGGAGCGTAGATAAATGACCCGTTGTTCTAACTCAAGAAGATGATTACAAAGAGTCTCAAACGGGAAATTTTGTCCAAATAATGACACGGCAGTGAATAAAGATTCGTACTCAGGTCCGAGTCCCATAATAGTAGTTTTTAAAAACTCATGAGGAGGCACAGGACAATTGATTGTGGCAAGATCATCAGCTAATGTTTTGATTTCCCTCAGATAATTATCCATCGACTGATCAGGTTTCTTTTTAATTTGATTTAATAAACGCTTTAATTCCATAGACCTGGCTAAACTGGCAGACATAAACCGAGACTCTAACCGATCCCAAATTTCATATGAGTGTTTTAAATCGCGCACATCGATAAGAACATCCCTAGATAGGGTTGCAAATAACCATGAACGGATTGTTTGATCAATTCTCAACCAAGTGAAAAATTCGGGATTGGGAGTTTGTCGGTTAAGAGCATCTATGGAATAAGCAGGGGGTACCTGAATGGAGCCATCAACCATGCCAAGTAGAGCTTGGGAAACCAGAAACGATTCAAATTGTGTCCTCCAAGTGGTGTAGTCTTCTATCGTCAAAAGTTTAGTAGTCACAATATTTGTGACATTGGTGGCCACATGAGATATGGTTTGAGCCAGATCAGAGAGAATGGATCCGACCGGAATGCCTGCTGGTGTGCGAGAGGGAGGAACAACAGAGGAGACACCAGATGAGCAGACAAACGTGGGGCCGGCAAAGGAAGGTCCGGCCGAGAAGGGCGGCGGCTCTAGAGGGACAGCCTGCACGGGAATTGGAGCCGACCAAGGGAACACCGGTGGTACATTCTGAAACGGAGAGTATGGCATAGAGACCCGGCTTGGTGATGCAAAGTTCGAGGAGAACGTCAAACCCTAAATCGTAGGTTTTGTATCTCACATCCATCAAATGCATATTTGATCTTTTAATCCATTCTCTTTCAAAAAGATTGCAGACACATTCTCTATCATTCTCTATAACTCTGTTGCTAATTTAGTTTTAAACTATAAGTTTTGAAGATAACTGCGCAGTTACTTTCAAAATTCATTTAAATGCCTCCTCGATTGAAGTTTTAGATGAAATTTGGTATAAGTAAACTATACTTAACGAATAAGATGTTCAAAAAATTTAATCAAAAAATTTTACCGCGAACCTCCCCAAACGAACCATTTTTATGCAACTTCGCGGACCGATCTGACCCTTAGCTCGATAATTAATTAACCAGAGATGTTTTAAATACACCTAATTATCTTTTGTTTTAACTTTTGTTTTAAATGGTTCCTTCATCACTAATCATTAGTCCACCAATATTCCTTCATTCTTTAACTACAAAAATTCTTCCACCACCTCCTCTGTCTTCTTCCTCGCCAGCGGTTAGTCCACTCCCCTTTTCTCTCTCCAATCAGTCGTTTCATATTAATCATCGATCATCAATCTTCCTTCCTGTAGAACCAAAACTATACCAAACCAAAGGGGATAAAGGAATACCCTCCACAACCAACAACCTCTCCCTCTCCAAGAAACCATAAAAAGATTCCCACAATTGAGGCACCAATTGTTCCATACCCTCCCCTCTCTGCCCTTCCTCTCCTCTCTTTGGGCAGACCTCACCCCCGCAAGCTCTCTCATCTTCCTCCCCGAAACAATCTATATCTGGAAGATAATAATAATAGTAACAGTATATAAGAAATTCAGAAAGAAAGATTGTTCCTTTTTCCTTCTTTCGCCCAAGGCAGGAACGAGTTCCGGTGAACCAAATCAGGGTATTGCTCGAATTTTCAAGACTCGCCGGGATGAAGCACATTGACGATGATATTCCGACATCCCCAGGAAAGTTCAAGATGGATAAGCCTCCTTACCATAACAATAGGCTTCGGCTTCATTCCTCCCTATCCAGGCTCACCTTTTGGTCCATCCTGTTCTTCTCTTTGATCTACTTTCTGTTCTTCAGATCACCGTCGTCTTCCTCCTCCCCCGCCGTCCCCTCGGATCTCTTCAGGAGATCCCTCAAAACCAGCTCCTACGGCGGCGAAGCCTGGGAAAAGAAGATAAGGGCCTCCGCGAAAGTCAGATCAAGAAACGGCATGACCGTTCTTGTCACCGGAGCCGGCGGCTTTGTCGGGACCCACGTCTCGGCCGCCCTCAAGCGCCGTGGAGACGGCGTGGTGGGGCTCGACGTTTTCAACGACTATTACGACCCGTCACTGAAACGGGCTCGCCAAAAGCTCCTCGAGCGTAACGGGGTGTTCATCGTGGAAGGCGACATAAACGACGCCGCATTGGTCAAGAAACTCTTCGAGATCGTGCATTTCACGCACGTGATGCATCTCGCCGCACAAGCCGGCGTGAGATACGCGATGGAGAACCCGGGATCGTACGTCCATAGCAACATCGCCGGCTTCGTCAGCCTTCTTGAGGTTTGCAAGAATGTCAACCCGCAGCCGGCCATAGTCTGGGCATCTTCAAGCTCTGTTTATGGATTGAACAGTAAAGTCCCGTTCTCAGAATTGGATAGAACAGATCAACCCGCGAGTCTTTATGCTGCAACCAAGAAAGCGGGTGAGGAAATCGCCCACACATATAACCACATATATGGTCTTTCCCTGACGGGGCTGCGGTTTTTCACGGTGTACGGACCTTGGGGCCGACCGGACATGGCGTACTTCTTTTTCACCAAAGACATTTTGAAAGGGAAGTCAATCCCCATATTTGAGGCGGCAAACCACGGAACCGTCGCTAGAGACTTCACTTACATTGATGACATTGTAAAGGGGTGTTTGGCAGCCTTAGATACCGCGGAGAAAAGTACTGGAAGTGGCGGGAAAAAGAAGGGGCCTGCTCAATTGAGGGTTTTCAACCTCGGGAACACTTCGCCCGTCCCCGTCTCTGATCTGGTTGGCATATTGGAGAAGCTGCTGAAGGTGAAAGCCAAGAGGCAAATTATGAAGCTGCCAAGGAATGGGGATGTTCAATTTACACATGCTAATATCAGTTTGGCTAAGAGGGAGCTTGGGTATAAACCTAGTACAGATTTACAAACTGGGTTGAAGAAATTTGTCCAATGGTATCTCAGTTACTATGGAGGTGCTGGTGGAAAGAAGAGTTCCCACTGAAACTATACAAACATTCTTTCTGTTGTTTGTAGTGGTGGTGGGGAGGAAGAGGTAGATCAAAGGACCAATTCCATTTCTTTTGTTTTGTCTTTCCTTGTTCATTCTTCTGATGATTGTTTTTTTTTAAAGTTCATACCCATACTTTGTTGTCTTGCTTTGTTGTATATCTGTACAAGGATGAAGCTTAAGGGGCTTTTTGTGGTGCTGGAAATTGTTTTGATTGTTGTGATATACGGAGTATGTTGTATTAAACGGGGACTTATACATTACATTATACCATTCTTTTTTCTTTGGGGCTGTTCTTGGAATGTAATTTGTTATGTGACTTGTATCCCCATTGTACATTTATTATGTATTATTTGGAGATGAAGAACTTTTAACAGGTTTAAATAAATGATTTTGCCACATGTTATATGTATATAATTGTATGTCTTTTCGTCTTCTTTATGAACATCCTTAAACTTTGGTTGTTTTGATGTTTATATCTTTCTCAATGGAATGATTCCCTTCTACATATGCATTATTTGAATCTGAACTATTACAGCAGATTTCATGTTGGGATTTCTGATATTGGTAGCTAAAATTCACTTCTAAGTTGTTAGAAAAATTTACTACAACTTACTTTATGTGATAAAAAATATAACAAAACTGAAGGGGAAAGGGATGTGTATGATTGTAGGAATATAGCAATTTGGTGCAGCAAGAAGAGAGCAATTTACTTTTTTGTCATTTTCTTTGCTTTCAGCACAAGCATAGAATTTAAAGAATGGTAGCGAGGATTACCAACATTCCCTGTCTTACTCTAATAAATCTTTTTTAATAAGTAAAAGGGTGATGATAAAAAAAAAGAAGTAAAAGGGTGAGGCTATGAACAGATCAACAGCTTTTAACATTCACAGTTTAAGCAAAGGGAGATGCTCATATAAGCAGTTTAAAAGTAGTAAAATATCCCTTAAGAAATATATGGCTCACACAAGAAATGTGTTTATTATACTTGTACAACTCTACCTGCTTTTGTTTCTTTGCACTCTTAATGGTTTGGAAGATTTGTTACTTTCTAAATGTTTCCAATTACCTATAATAATTTAAATTTGGTAAGAGAACAAATAACTTCATCCTCGATAAAGCATCTTAAACTAAAACATGAACTTCATTTTAGGATGAAAAATATAAAACGTAGCTATAAAGGTTCATTTTTATGAGATGATAGAGAGAGTGCTTGATTTCAACCCAATACTCGATAGATAAAGTTATTCTATTTAGGTAACACTTGAGATCAAAATAGTATTACTTTGGACATGATTACAAATTATAACCATTTATCTTTTTCACCGCAATAATACTTTTTGAAGAAAAAGGTCAAGCTCTTCAATTATAGTTAAAACATTGTCATTTTTTTTAAAGAAGTTATAACATTGTCAAAACCCCCATATTAAAAAATTATCATGCAAGTGCATTTACTATTGAAAAATAATAAAACAAACCCATTGAACGAAAAACGACATGGTGTAGTAGCAAAACCCGACCCAACCCGAGATTAATTTCGGATATTTCAGATTTTACCCGACCATGTAGGTTCAACCGACCTGAACAACCCACCCAAAAACCCACTTGGAACTGATCGAAATATAAATGGGTCGGGTAGGGCTTGGATTATACCCACCTGACCCGTCCGAAATCCCGAAACCATATCCCCTTGTACAACCCACATATATGCTCCTAATAAACTGACATTCATGTAATTTCCATGCTTACGTTTATGTTTTTTATTAGTTTAGATTGATTATTACCTTGGAAATTACACACTTTTGGTGTAATAGTTTTAGTTGTAAAAATGTTTGTAATTTGTTTAGATTAGGTTTATACTGAGCTCAAACAGGTCCAAGATCACTCTAGGGACCATTGGTGAACATCACAAATGGAAGAAAGGTGCAAAAAATCTCAAGATTCTGATTTTTGGTGTTGTACCCGGTCGGGTATGACCTATACCCGATCGGGTACCTTGTTGAAAAATCAAATCAGATCGGATTCGGGACAAGGCAACATGCAGGGGAGATTTTGGCACGATCGACTGTTCATACCCGATCGGGTGGCCGACATACCTGATCGGGTATAACCTAATTTTTTATATTTCCGCGAAGCAACCAAGTACCCGATCGAGTGCCCTTACAGCCCGATCGGGTACATGACCCTGCAAGCCTAAAAAGCCTATAAATACCCCCCTTTCCTTCCCACAAAAATCACCAATTCACATATACTCTTTAGCTCAATTTAGTTAAGTATTTCTTTTATATTTTTAGCATGTTTAGTCTCCAAATGAGGAGCTAAACTCTTTCATCTTGGTTCTGCTACTTTGAAGCTTAATGAATTTGTAAGTTGTGAGTTATTCTCTTTAATTTTCTTCCTTGAATATTAATTCTTCCTTTAAATACTATTTCTATATCAATGTTGGGGAGTGTTACTAAGATGACAATTAGTTAATATCTTGACATTAGTTATAGTAATAGTTATTTCTTCCTCTATGTTAATATTGGGGAGTGTTACTAAGATGACAATTAGTTAACATCTTGATATTAACTATAGTAGGATTCATACTCTTTAATATTCTTCCTTGAGTATTAATTAATTCCTATTCATATTTCATATTAATATTTTGAACATTACTTAAAGGATCAACTAGTTTTGTTTCATATATTAATTATTACTAGAATCAATCGATTAATACGCTTGTTATTAATTCGGTTCCTTCAACGGTAGTAAACTTGGATTGTTAATGCATGCGTCTCATGATTAATAATCTAAGGGGAATTAATTATATTGATTAAACCGATAAACCGCTTGTGTTGAGGTTATCAATCTCAATCGTTTTCATCTCAAGTTTATTGCTACTATCGTGTTAATATACGCGCGTGTTCTATATTGACTCGGTAGTAAGTTTTATTAATGAACGCGTCTCGTTATTAATAACTACCCTCGATGAACTGGATATACTCCTCGATTGAGTATTCGAGAGGAAGACAGTTAAAGATATAACCGGGATCGACGAACATTTCATTAAGTGGATAAAAGCAAAACCAAGTCCTCATCTCTTTAAATTAAACTCATATAAGTTGTTTATCTTAGTGTTAATTAAATTCAATCAAATCAAACTTAAAACCCCCTTTGTTACTATTTACATAAAAGAAAAGTATTTCTTTCCCTGTGGATACGAACCTTACTTCACTATACTACGTATTAGTGTTGTATTGATAAATTATTTTGAGTGCACCTCACGACAAGTGCACGTCAAATTTGGCGCCGTTGCCGGGGATAGGCAATTATTTTTTTCTTTTATTGTATTTCAAGAAAATAAAAAAAAATATTAAATAAAAATATAAAGAGTTCTTATTTCTTCTATTTCTGAGCTTGGTGAAGTATATGGTTAAACACCGTTCTATAAACGAACCCAGAAATAGAACAAACTTTCGAGCGGTTGAAAAGTAAATTTTCTAATACCGACTCGGAGGAATCATCTATCAGAGATTCATCCAGCGCTAGTTCTCATTCTAGCGAGACCGAAGAGTCAATAACCATGGCTCTTGAGACAAGAACACTACGGGAGCTCACTGCTCCAAATCTCAATCAACAACCATTATGTATTACCTTCCCTACACTCGATGAAGGTAATACATTTGAGCTAAAATCTGGGCTCATACATCTACTACCATCCTTTCATGGCCTAAGAGGAGAAGATCTGAACAAACACCTTTCTGAGTTCCATATTGTGTGCACAAGCATGTGCCCCAGTGGTGTCTCGGAAGAACAAATCAAATTGAGGGCTTTTCCATTCTCCCTCAAAGACATTGCAAAGGATTGACTATTCTATCTTCCTTCGGGAAGTATAGACACATGGGCAGCAATGAAAAAATGCTTCTTGGATAGGTACTAACCCGCCTCAATCTCATCTTCTTTAAAAAAAAATAAGCAACATTGAACAAAAAAGAAGATGAAACATTGTATGAATATTGGGAGCGTTTCAAAAAGTTGTGTGCTAGTTGCCCATATCATGGGTACACCGAGCAAGACCTCATCCTCTATTTTTATGATGGTCTTGCGGATCAATATAGGCGCATGGTGAATGCGGCATGTGGAGGGGGAATTGTTAACAAAACCCCTTCTCAAGCAAGGAATCTCATCTCGGAGTTGACCGAGAACTCCAGACATTACAGTGGGCGATCCTCAACCCGAAGGGTTGCCGCAGCAGAATCCAACACCTCGTTAAAAAGCCAAGTTGCCGGTTTGACTTCTCTGGTCAAAGAACTTCTTCTGAAACCAAAGACTCAGGAGGTCAAAGCTTGTGGCATTTGCACAGCAACCGGGCACCCCACTGATTTGTGCCCATCCCTCCAAGAAGAACAAGTCAACGCCTTGGGTTTCCAAGGCCATCAACAGAAGAGGTATGATCCATTCTCAAATTCTTACAACCCTGGATTGCGGGATCATCCTAACTTGAGGTATGGAAACCCTCAACAATCCAACTCATCTTCTCAATCTAGTATGTCAACTGATGACATGATCCGGACTTTGACCTCAAACATGGTTACCATGCAACAAAACATGGGACAATTTCAACAAACCATGATACAATTTCAACATGAGAATAAGTCAAGCATTAACAATTTGGAAACTCAAGTTAGTCAAATTGCAAATGCCGTGAACCGACTTGAAACGAAGGACTCGGGTAATCTCCCATCTCAAACAGAGCAAAACCCGAGACAACATGTGAATGCCATCATGTTGAGAAGTGAGGCGACATTGAAAGAAGTAGAAAAGAATGATAGAGAGATTGAGGAGGTGGATCCTGAAGAAGAAGTTCAGTCGGAGGAGGGGATCACTACAACCAAACTCCCTCAATTTTCATATGAACCAGTAGCTCCGTTCCCTGAGGCGCTCACAGAAACAAGGAGACTAGAGAAAGATGCTGACATCTATGAAACCTTTGCCAAGTGCGAGGTAAACATTCCACTCCTTAACTCAATGAAAAGTGTTCCTCGTTTTGCTAAATTTATAAAAGAATTATGCAAAACAAAAAGGAAAAATAAATTGAAAGAGAAACAAGAGGTTAAGGTTAGTGAACATGTCTAAGCTATTTTCCAAAATAAACTCCCCGAAAAATGTAGCGACCCAGGCATGTTCACTATTCCTTGCACGATAGGGGGCACCACATTTCCTAGGGCCTTGTTGGATTTAGGGGAATCAATAAATGTCATTCCTTATTCCGTTTATAAATCCCTACAACTTGGCCCACTACATCAAACCGGTGTAGTAATTCAACTAACGGATCATTCTAGCACTTACCCAAAGGGTGTGATAGAAGATGTGTTAGTGAAAGTAGAAAATATGGTTTTCCCTTTCGACTTCTATGTCCTCGAAATGGGAAATGATGATCAAATAACACCTATCCTGTTGGGTAGAC